CACATGCTCCAAGTTAATGGGAAGGCCAAGACCGACTTTGCATTTCCCAACTCCCATCGATAGTGGAAATAATCGATTTTTTCTTGCTTCTACGGCAGTTTTCATGTAGTTTGCGGCCATTTTCTACTGGCCAGAGTGAGAGCCTATAGCTGGCTGCCACAAATAGGCAGGAAGATTCTATTGGCCAGCGTGAGAGCCAACAGCTGACTGACGCGAATGTTAACTAGCATGCTAGCATGCAAAAAAAATCGATAGCTGTATTCGTCACAAGTGGGAAAAATATAAATCTGCATGGCGCTTTACTCCAATTGGCTCATTCGCTTGCTTAAACTCAATGTTGACTCCGATTCCGCAGAACTGGGTTGGGTGTGAAAATGTATTTGTTGTTAACATTCTTTTTTTTCATTCGGTTTTCCAGTTACGAGTCCTTTTTAAAGCTGATCGTTTTGTGTTCATTTTGTTTAGTTCTTTTTTTTCGTAACAGATTTAATGTTTAGTATAGAGCTTAGAAAAAATTCGCAGTGTGAGATAGGCAAGAAGTAAGGCATGTAGCAACATCAGCACGGCAAAGGGCACTCCTTTAAAGGCAAGGAAGGGCAAAAATATTTTAAGTCAAGTGATAGCGATTGCTGTATGAGTCGTACGATTTTTGAATCAAGCACGGGAAACGCCGGGTCATGCTGCTAGTGTGTTATAAAAACTCGGCCATAAAGATTGGTCTATAAACTTTGGCCGTCATCAGATGCGAAAGATCAGTTGGCTGTTTGAATTGCTCCCAATGTCGGGTTCTTTAATCTTATCAGATGGGATCATTGCAGCATGAGACGGTTTTATATCAAGTCTGAATCACACATATTGGCGAATGGTTAAACTGACATATTCGTTTGAATCTACTGGCAAGAGATGTAATCTTAAGACTGACTGATAACAACTCAACACAAACAAAATTACACCCCCCCAAAAAAACAAACAAACAAACAAGCTTTCCTTTCATTGGCTCTTCATTCTGAGTTACAAATGTTCGCTTTTATAATTTTTGACATTGGGTCGTTTTATATTCTTATAAAATAGCCATCTTTTATCATCAATCATTAATACATTACAACGTTGATTTCTGGTTCAAGCAAGTGAAGTGATTCGTAGAGGGTCCTAAACCCTATAGCTAACTTTGTCAAACTATAGGGCAGAAATGTTCCAACTGAGCTGTTGGCGAAGGCTAAAATACTGGTATTGCATTACCTGAAGAGATTAAGATCCCCAAAAAAGGAGCCATCTATCAAGTAAATCCTGTAGCCTTTCTTGTTGTTGAGTAAATAAGAAGACATCCAGTTACGCCGATTCCCAAAGAACAAATATGGCCGACATGTCAAATACATTTTGTAAACAGTTTTTATCGACACCTGCTTACATTTTGTTTTATTATCTACGTGATAGGAAACTTGTTTTGTAGAGAAACTATTCGTGGGTCAGTCAAGGAAAACTTGCACTGAAAACCTTTAAAAAAAATGAACCTATTTGGAAAATTAGTTTTCACTCTGTATATTAAGATTAAATTTATGCCGACTAGACTTTTTCTTTTGCAACACATTGAAATCCTCACAGTATTTTGTATTGGTGAAGTTATCGCTAACATTTTTGTCGACATTTACAAACTCTGCGTTTCGTCCAATTTCGCAAACCAATAGATGAAATTTGAATAAACCGATTTCTATGGAAAAACACTTTCACAAAAGCTCGACTTCGTGGTTTAATAATTAATTTAATTTAATTTGATTTTATAGGACTTCAATATTTTTTCAGATAATTTTTTATTTCTTTCTAACAGCGAAGAATAAATTCTTAGGATTTCTTACCCTTGAGCATACAACATACAACTGACCATGCGAAAATATTTCTTTCTGGAGTCAAATTTCTACTTTTTGTAGCGTTTGGCCTTAGGATTTGTTTATAGTTCCCCTAAACGTAAGGCGAAGTGGATTCTGGATTAAGGTATATAAAAAACTTAATAAAAGCTATGCAAAAACCACTATTGCATTTTTATTAAATAAGTAATTGTTATTTTATCATATTATTTTAAATAATACGAGTATTTAAATAATAAAACTTTTAGTTTTTTAATAAAAAAAAGAAATCTATGAAAAATTAATATACTAAGCTTCGCAATCTAGTAAAACTTATTGTACTTTGTAACCCCTTACTTGTTTGCACTCCCCACCCCCATGAAAAAAAAATTGATTTTGATTCAAGCACGGGCAACGCCAGGACATGCTGCTAGTTAATAATACAAATTAACAAGTATTACAATTTAATTAATAATACATCATAACATAAAATCTTCCATATAAAAAGTTAATAAATGAAAAATGACGTTACTTTTAGTTGGCTGATTTTGTTTAGCGGCATATCAACATCTCTATGGGTTATTTAATGCCGAAATCTAAATATTTTGAACACAATATTATGGCTTCAACTAAATATATTTTGAACGCAATTGTATGCCTTCAACTACAGATAAAATTTATTGTTGGTCATTTTGATATAAAATGTATTGTTGGTAATTCTAGTATAAAACGTAATG